GGGGGGGGGGGAGGTCCCTTTTTTGGTGTGGGCCTCGCCCCATTTGTGGGGCTCTTGTCAGGGAGGTGGTCAGCCTCTTTATTACAGGAGCAAATTCCTATATATTTTTATGTTTTTGGGGAATCCGCGTTGAAAAATACTCAACTTCATATTACTCTTTTACCCCCAAAAAAAATCCATTAATTAATGATTTTGTTTATGGTTTATTTTGTTGATTTCCATTGCCGCTACAAAATAAATAATCGTAAATTAATTTTTATTTTTAATAAATCTAAAGTTAATATTACTCGAAAAAGTAATAGAAATATGAAAATAAAGAAAAAGTTGGAGATCCAAGAGCTGTAATTTTTTCGAATAAATCAATAAGATATGAATGCATATAAATATTAACTCAGGCCAAAGTGCATGAAGGACCAAACTTTAATTTTCTCTTCCCATGGGGCTCTCTCAAGCAGAGTCTCTCCAAAGGGCACATGAACAGTTCATGCCTCAGACTAGAAATGTATGATAATAATTAGGGATATTTGTAGCGGAGGCTCCAGCTTTTCAAACAAAATAATAACCACACACTGTAGTTTTACTTTTTAAACCTTTAAATCGCAGTATATACGTATATCAAACTTTTCAAAAATGTGCGATAGAAGGATATCTAGACAATTTTAGTCTAAAAATTCGTTAGTTGATCAAAAGTCGAACATTTTACCATAATTTGACCGTTTTTAAAAAGCGCAAATTGTAAGTTTACATTTTAAACATAAAATAATAATAATAAATAAATTTATATGTATATATATATATAAAATAATATTCATCTTCCTCACAAGCATCACCTACCCCATCTCACACCCAGGTTTGACATCCATTGTAGTGAATATTTTTTCGGAAAAAACAAGTTTTGAAATAGTATTTTTGAAGAATGTGTAACTAAAAACTATGAAAAAATATTTTGTTTATATTCAAAATATTTTATTATGTGAATTGACTGAAAATGAGTTTAAGAAAAAATAGTTTTGATTTAATGGATGTCAACACAAGAGCTAAATAAAGTTGAAATTTTTAACCAACGTACAAGATTTTGGATTACTCATCTATAATTTATTGAATATCACATCAAATGAAAATCATTTTTAGGATGATTCTAACCTTACCCTAATTCAGTTATTTCAATAATACCTTACTTTTCGTTTTTCAATATATATTAAATTTATTTAACCATAATATTATCATGAATCATTTTGTCAACTACTTAGTAATCATCAATGTACATTTAATAGATTCATTTCATTTGATTGAAAAGTAAATTAAATTCTTTAAATTTTTTTTGAAACAAAAGATAATCTTATGAGAGTTTTGTTTCAATTTATTTATTCAATTAATTTTAATGTGCAAATAAGTTAAATAGAGGGACATAATACGTATCTATAATAAATAATTCTAGTTGATATATTCAATACAAATAAAGTGATGATGAAGAAATTGAGGTATTCATCATTCAGATCACAAAGATAAATCTAGCATTTGATTTCATACCAATTTGAAGCAGACACTTTGTAATCTTCTTGTCAAAAATGGCAGCTAAATAATTAAAGAATACTTTCAAAAATTCTATATTTGTCGACCCAATAATCCTATATTAATTCTTAATATGAAATAAAATTCCTATTTACGTAAATTATTATCATGAATGATTTTGTCAATTTTCGTATTTATTACTGTGACAGTACATTTCAAAATCCATTCACCTTTATTTCCATTAAGTGGAACTTAATTTCATTAATACTCAAATAATTTAGATTCGTGTAGTACATTTCAAAATTCTTGTACTAGAACTTAATTTCATATCAATAAGGTTCATGTTAATGTATATAAGAGGAATTCAATTTTTTTAATTCTCAATTTATTAGAGTTCATATTAATGTTTGTAATTGATTTTTTTTTCAAGTTAATATATATACCCTCCCCCCCCCCACACACGAACACGAACACGAACACGAGCACGAACAAACAGACATAAAAATCTCAAAATTTGGTTATTTTCAGTGAGTAATGCATATACGGTACAATCATGCATGAGCTCCAAATTCGATCGTCAAGCAAATCAATAATTCTTTGTATTGGATGACTACTACAGCAATATATAGTATACATATATAAAGCTCGAAACTACTAGACTTGATTTGTACATGACACAATAATCAAACATTCGATCGGAACTATATCAAAAAATTGTTGGCATTATAAATGAAGTGAAACAAGAGGTGGTAAAGTTGTAAAAAGAATTATTCTCCTTGTTGTAGTACTTATAAAAGCAATCCTTCTACAAGCTAAACAACTCAAGAAGTCGACTGAAAGAGACAGATAAAAAAACAATTTAAGAAGTCGACTGAAAGAGAAGTATCTTTGTTTAAGACTTGTTAGGCATAGATTTCTCTAAAATCATTGTTCTCCAAATTATTTTAACCTTCACTTTTCGATTACATATTTTCCAATAAAAATTTATTTAATTTTGTGCAACCCTTGGGCAAGGAAAAGCTTCTCGCAATCAACGATCAAATTTCCTGCCTGAATGGTAAATGTGCCCTTCGCACAAGCAAGGACTCTAATGATCTAAGGGTGTGTTTGATAGGGTGGAACTAAATTTTCCAATTTTAGGTGTTAGATACTTTTTTTTTTCCATGGCATTCAAATTCTTGATTATCTTGAACTTTGAAGTTTTCTTGGTACTTTTTTGGCCAATGGAAATAAATTTTATCCTTAATTGTAAAAAAAATATTTTCCTTTAATGGACAATTTTCATATAAAATAAAACCAAAATAACACTAAACGATAGATGATTTTCTTGGCTTTTTGATTTTTTTGGCAATTGAAACAAATTCTATCCCCAATACCAATAAATTATATCCCTTTAATTGACAATTTTCATATAAAACAGAGCCAAACGAATACCCAAAAGGACTTTCATTTCAAAATTTTCCACGTGAAAAATTATACCAATCAAACACAATAATTTACAATTCCCAGAAAAACAATTATAGGCAATACAATTCCCTGAAATTCGCTTTCTTGATAGTTCAATTCCATCTTTGCAATCAAACGGATCCTAATTTCAAGAAAGGCAAATTTTTCAGTCACCCAAAATGCTAGAGCACGTAACTTCGATCAAATCAGTTCACTAGAATTAGTGTTGTAAAAGTTCAATTCAGATTATAGAAAATCAAATAAGGGAGTGCAGTTAATTTTCTGTAGGAATTGACAATTTTACTGCTCTAGAATTGATTTCATGCTCCCAATGAGCAGGATGAGAGTTTTACATTGCTGACGTGGTAAGAGAACCTTTTATGATAATCATAAGTGAAGTTTAACAGTGAAAAGTTTATATCATGCCCACCAGGGGCATGAGATCAGAAAGCAGGCCTGTATCTTGCTCATTATTAGAATTCGTATGGAAAGGAACCGGAGAAGAATGGAAATCATGGTTCATATACATAGAAGTCTAATTTTGTGATTGATCAAAGCTTGATAGAATAATTCTTTTTACAATTATTTGAAATTAAATTAAATTCAAAATTTAGTCTCCATTATTTGAAATTTTAATAGTTAGAATAATGTTTTTTTGAAAATATGTGGTTTAAAAAAAAAATTGGAATTACATACAAATTATTTTATTGAAAAATGAGTGGTTGATAAGGGGAGAGAGAGATGAATGAATTATAATTTTAATGGGGGCCAAATAGAGGCTTAATCCAACTTTTAACAATAAATTTTAGAAGATATTTTTAAAGTGTAGTGGTCAAAACTCGATCATCTTAAAGTTTGGTGTCAAAATTCAACCACCTAAAAGTTTAGTGAGCAGTAGCATCACACATTCGTAATTTAAGGAAGAGATTTATTTTTTTAATATTAATTCATAATTTTAAAATTTCTCTAAAACAAGTTGGTGATTGAATATTTCTAAAACTTTTCAATCACACATTTAATCAACTCTTATCAAAATTCTTTAAAATTTTATATAAAAAAAAATCTTAATATTAATCTGAAAATTAGCACTACATGCAGTGCAGCCAGAAGAGGGAGGTGCAACCAGGAAACGTGCAAACCTTAATTTCTTCCCAGTGGTATAGGTGCCGAAATTATAATCTCAATTACCCAGACGCCAGTGAGAAACTAAAAACTTATTATTAATAATAATTAGTAAGTGCTTAAAAGCAACTTTTTTAAGTGCTTTCTCCATGAGGCACGTCTCTAGTCTCCAGAAAAGCAGTTAAAGAAACACTCCAAAATCAGTTTCTTCTACAAATGTTGCAGCTAATAACGAACATAACTTTAACAATATTACAAACTTAGGAATAATTATTTTTCCTGTGATTATAAGTATAAAAAGTAAAGCTGAGAAAAGATAATTATTTTCAGTTTTAAAGCCCAATTTTTGATGATCTATATTGAAAATATAACTTACTCACCATTTAAGCTTCCGTTGGTGTCTCAGAAATGCTCTCTAAGTGAGGTCTCCATATGCCAACACGCCCTCTTCTTCGATCCCTTTGTGTCGATACCTTCTCTTTAAGAATATCACTCAAGTATTTATCAGACATGACGATAACGTTGTTGTTCTTCTCAATAGTAACTTGGGACTCTTTCTTTTTCCTCTTTGTTGATGATCTTGATCGAGTTTTTCCTGGCACTGGCATCAGGAAGTAAATCTTCCCTCGTTGAAGTTCTGCATCAGGAGGAACTTCAACAATCTTTGGGCAAATCCCTTCACCGGTGGGCGATGAAGTTTTCGTTAGTACATGATTTGGATGTAATTTCATGATCTCTTCTGCTTTAAAATTGCTGCCACTTATCTCTTCAACCTGACCATTAGCATGGACTATTCGAATCACGTCAAGGACACCACAGGGTAGAATGCAAGATATACAGCATCTAATGGTGTTCATCATGGAAAGTGAGGGAGGGAGGGACAGAAGAGGGAGGTTAAACTAGATGATAAACAAATCTCCAAGCAAGATCACGTGGACAGTGGCTTTCATTGGAAAGAGAAGGTTCATGGACTTGTTTTCACAAATGAATCTAGGTTTGTGGATTGCTTTGACTTGTGTGAACTCTAATTGTCTTATTTGCTCAACCAAAGATGAACCATGAGAGAGTAAGAACGTAAAATGTATAGCCATGTTTGGAAGAAATTAATTTAAGTTAAAGTCAACAATTAATTTTAATTAAATACTTTATCAATCCCACAATTTTTCAATCACACATTTCATCAATTTTTATTAAAATCTACGTAAATTGATAGATTTGATAATCTTATAGCAAATACGCTCAATCAATTTTTCAATTTACAGGCTTATGACCCATGGCGGTTGCTTTTCAATTTTTGGTCAGCTACCACAGACCTATGATAGTCAGGGATTGTTACATTTGAGCTAACTATTGTGCCTTTAAGATGAGACTAATTCAATAAACATCATCTCCTTTCTCATGGAATAAAAGTTCACACTTAGGCCTCATTCGAGAGTGATTTTTCACCAAAAAATTGATTTTTGACCGTTATTTCACTATTTCAGCTGTAATTTTTGATTTCTTCTTTCACAGGTGGCCCTCACTTTTCTCCTAACGGTAAAAAAATCAATTCTCAAAATTACTGTCGAACAAACCTTTTAATATCTTCCAAAGGTACTGCATTCTTGTAATGCAAACTTGATAATCTTCAATCTATGAATCATATTTTTTGTCCATTATGTCTCTCCCCACACCAAAATACTTTCTTCATGGTCTGACATGAACATCCAAGTCTTCAACCGTTGCACCTTTGTTGAAGCTATTGTCACTTGCAGTCTAACATACATGTGAACGAAAGTAGAGCCGAAATATGTTGACATTCGAATTTGGAGGTCGACAACAAACTTGAGATTAGTGAGTTTTGTTTAACAATTCTTGCATTAGGGGTGAAAAATTCTCTTGCGAAAACCACGATTTAAGTAAATTTAAAATTTTTATAATAGAAGTGAATTGGAGATTTTCGAGTTTCCTAGTTGCGTGCTTAGAAAGTGTTGCAGGACCTTGTCAACTTTTAATATTGATTCCATAAACAGTACATTTTATTTAACCAGAAATTTTTAAGTCAATGTCGATTTCGTTTTCCAATTATATTAATTAAATCAATGATTTAAGAATGACAAAGGATACCAATCGTGACAATTGCTTGAAGTACTTCACAATCATGTACCAAACTAACAAACGTGTTTTCAAACTTGGAAAAGAATTCAAAAGTAAATTGGTTTCATTAGATAAGATAGTGGACCACGAATAAAGAGAAAAAACAACCTTAGTTTAAAACAGTAATTATAATATTTAGCCAATGTCTAATCCAAAAGTGGATAAGACACTTAGGTCTGTGCGGATGAGATTCTCTAAAATTTTTTTTTAATCATACAATATTTCAATAAAATAATTTTGTATGAGAAATCATAAATTTTTCTACTTTGTAATCATAGATTTTTCCCAAAAAAAAAAAAAAAAAGTCATTTTTTTCACATAATTTATTCTCAAAAAAATTACAACAAACAAGCCCTTAATGATTGAGAGAGATGTAACTTGTAAGTGGGATACATGTGAGAGGAATGGAGGGAAGGGTCATATCGAGGGTTTATATCATGCCCACCAGGGGCATGAGATCAGAAAGCAGGCCTGTATCTTGCTCATTATTAGAATTCGTATGGAAAGGAACCGGAGAAGAATGGAAATCATGGTTCATATACATAGAAGTCTAATTTTGTGATTGATCAAAGCTTGATAGAATAATTCTTTTTACAATTATTTGAAATTAAATTAAATTCAAAATTTAGTCTCCATTATTTGAAATTTTAATAGTTAGAATAATGTTTTTTTGAAAATATGTGGTTTAAAAAAAAAATTGGAATTACATACAAATTATTTTATTGAAAAATGAGTGGTTGATAAGGGGAGAGAGAGAGGAATGAATTATAATTTTAATGGGGGCCAAATAGAGGCTTAATCCAACTTTTAACAATAAATTTTAGAAGATATTTTTAAAGTGTAGTGGTCAAAACTCGATCATCTTAAAGTTTGGTGTCAAAATTCAACCACCTAAAAGTTTAGTGAGCAGTAGCATCACACATTCGTAATTTAAGGAAGAGATTTATTTTTTCTAAATACCTTTTTTTCCCTGTTTATGATTTATGTAATTTATAAGTGTTTGTTGATTTTATTGGGAAAAACTAGGTTCAAGCTAACTCGGAAATGTAATTGATTATTTTCTTAAAAGGTAAAAATAATTCCTTAAGAAAATATTCAATATTGAATCAAGAAAGATCATAAATTTTGGACTAATGACTTAATGTCCAAGAGATATATTCCTTTGATAATCTTTAGTCTATTTTTTTAATATTAATTCATAATTTTAAAATTTCTCTAAAACAAGTTGGTGATTGAATATTTCTAAAACTTTTCAATCACACATTTAATCAACTCTTATCAAAATTCTTTAAAATTTTATATAAAAAAAATATCTTAATATTAATCTGAAAATTAGCACTACATGCAGTGCAGCCAGAAGAGGGAGGTGCAACCAGGAAACGTGCAAACCTTAATTTCTTCCCAGTGGTATAGGTGCCGAAATTATAATCTCAATTACCCAGACGCCAGTGAGAAACTAAAAACTTATTATTAATAATAATTAGTAAGTGCTTAAAAGCAACTTTTTTAAGTGCTTTCTCCATGAGGCACGTCTCTAGTCTCCAGAAAAGCAGTTAAAGAAACACTCCAAAATCAGTTTCTTCTACAAATGTTGCAGCTAATAACGAACATAACTTTAACAATATTACAAACTTAGGAATAATTATTTTTCCTGTGATTATAAGTATAAAAAGTAAAGCTGAGAAAAGATAATTATTTTCAGTTTTAAAGCCCAATTTTTGATGATCTATATTGAAAATATAACTTACTCACCATTTAAGCTTCCGTTGGTGTCTCAGAAATGCTCTCTAAGTGAGGTCTCCATATGCCAACACGCCCTCTTCTTCGATCCCTTTGTGTCGATACCTTCTCTTTAAGAATATCACTCAAGTATTTATCAGACATGACGATAACGTTGTTGTTCTTCTCAATAGTAACCTGGGACTCTTTCTTTTTCCTCTTTGTTGATGATCTCAATCGAGTTTTTTCTGGCACTGGCATCAGGAAGTAAATCTTCCCTCGTTGAAGTTCTGCATCAGGAGGAACTGCAACAATCTTTGGGCAAATCCCTTCACCGGTGGGCGATGAAGTTTTCGTTAGTACATGATTTGGATGTAATTTCATGATCTCTTCTGCTTTAATATTGCTGCCACTTATCTCTTCAACCTGACCATTAGCATGGACTATTCGAATCACGTCAAGGACACCACAGGGTAGAATGCAAGATATACAGCATCTAATGGTGTTCATCATGGAAAGAAAGGGAGGGAGGGACAGAAGAAGGAGGTTAAACTAGATGATAAACAAATCTCCAAGCAAGATCACGTGGACAGTGGCTTTCATTGGAAAGAGAAGGTTCATGGACTTGTTTTTCACAAATTAATCTAGGTTTGTGGATTGCTTTGACTTGTGTGAACTCTAATTGTCTTATTTTCTCGACCAAAGATTGAGAGAGTAAGAGAACGTAAAATGTGTAGCCATGTTTGGAAGAAATTAATTTAAGCTAAAGTTAACAATTAATTTTAACCAAACACTTTATAAGTCCCACAATTTTTCAATCACACATTTCATCAATTTTTATCAAAATCTACGTAATCTGATAGATTTGATAATCTTATAGCAAATACGCTCAATCAATTTTTCAATTCACAGGCTTATGACCCATGGCGGTTGCTTTTCAATTTTTGGTCAGCTACCACAGACCTATGATAGTCAGGGATTGTTACATTTGAGCTAACTATTGTGCCTTTAAGATGAGACTAATTCAATAAACATCATTTCTTTTCTCTTGGAATAAAAGTTCACACTTAGGCCCTATTTGAGAGTGATTTTTCACCCCAAAAAATTGATTTTTGACCGTTACTTCACTATTTCAGAGGTAATTTTTGATTTCTCCTCTCACAGGTGACTCTCACTTTTCTCCTAAGGTAAAAAAAACAATTCTCAAAATTACTATCGAACATACCTTTTAATATCTTCCAAAGGTGCTGCATTCTTGTAATGCAAACTTGATAATCTTCAATCTATGAAACATATTTTTAGTCCATTATGTCTCTCCCCACACCAAAATACTTTCTTCATGGTCTGACATGAACATCCAAGTCTGCATCCGTCGCACCTTTGTTGAAGCTATTGTCACTTGCAGTCTAACATACCTGTGAACGAAAGTAGAGCCGAAATCTATTGACATTCGAATTTGGAGGTCGACAACAAACTTGAGATTAGTGAGTTTGTTTAACACTTCTTGCATTAGGGTTGAAAAATTCTCTTGCGAATACTGCGATTTAAGTAAATATAAAAAATTTTATAATAGAAGTGAATTGGAGATATTCGAGTTTCCTAGTTGCGTGCTTAGAAAGTGTTGCAGGACATTGTCAACTTTTAATATTGATTCCATAAACAGTACATTTTATTTAACCAGAAATTTTTAAGTCAATGTCGATTTCGTTTTCCAATTATATTAATTAAATCAATGATTTAAGAATGACAAAGGATACCAATCGTGACAATTGCTTGAAGTACTTCACAATCATGTACCAAACTAATAAACATGTTTTCAAACTTGGAAAAGAATTCAAAAGTAAATTGGTTTCATTAGATAAGATAGTGGACCACGAATAAAGAGAAAAAACAACCTTAGTTTAAAACAGTAATTATAATATTTAGCCAATGTCTAATCCAAAAGTGGATAAGACACTTAGGTCTGTGCGGATGAGATTCTCTAAATTTTTTTTTTAATCATACAATATTTCAATAAAATAATTTTGTACGAGAAATCATAAATTTTTTTCTACTTCGTAATCATACATTTTTCAAAAAATAAAAATAAAAAATCACATAATTTATTCTCAAAAAAATTACAACAAACAAGCCCTTAATGATTGAGAGAGATGTAACTTGTAAGTGGGATACATGTGAGAGGAATGGAGGGAAGGGTCATATCGAGGGCAGGGCCCCACGGCAAGCATCACACAATTGGGAAAATTTTGCATACGTGGTCTTCAAATATACTCTTTCGAGCACTTGAATCCCCAATTGAGGAGAGGTGAAAGCGGGAAAGTTTAGGATGGTGGCGGAGAGGCCGGTCTAGACTAGGTGGAAGAAGACAATCGAGATGAATTTAATTTATTTTTTTACTTAATAAATGGAGACTATGGACTAAAATTCTCTTTTAAAATAGGTCATGTGTAAGACAAGTACTCTTAAAGCATATTTTTGTCAATTACATGCATAAAAACTAAGAGTTTGAGAACCTAAAAGTCAATAAAATTTTATTGGGGACCCAAGTGTCAAAGAGTACACTTTGGGGACCGAAGTGAAATTTTTTCTGACATTGGAACTTGTGTGTAATTAGTGATAAAACCTGGGATCCTTGTTTGGGTATCATTAATTCTAAAATACATTTATTTCTTTCTTTTCAACCATACATTTTTCAATAAGATAATATTACATGTAAAATTAAAAAATTTCTTCTTTTTTAACCACACATTCCTTTAAAAAAAACCTTATTACAAAAATATATATTTTTCCTAAAATTTAATATAATGAAACTCAAACATGGACTAAAAGTAATTAGGTAGTGATTAATTAACACACAATTCCACAGCTCAATTCAATATTAATTAAAAGTGATTGAAGGGTACGAAATTTAGATGGATGATGGGATGTGGATGGCTCCAATTATTGTACAAATGAGATGTTTAGCAATCATCGATCCAGATAAAGAAAGGATAGGAGACATAAAAAAAGGTTCTAACCTTTTTTTTTCCTGATAAAAAAACAAAAGAAAAGAAAAAATGAAAAGAAAAGAAAACTTTTCAACAGAATATTTGGAAATCTTAGTTAGTGCTTTGAACAGCCTTTTTTATGGAAAACTCAATCGCTGTCTTTAATGTTAATACCTACTAAATAACTTACAAGTAACTGGACTTCGAATTAATGTAAATGACTTTTATTCATTTAAATAATGGCGAAATTGGGGTTTGACATCTCAACAATTCACATCATAACCTTAAAAACTGAGGTTTTGGACCCCAATTTATTTAAATATATGAATTGGAATCTTCACGCGATTGTAACAATCAATGTAAATGTTAAAATCACATGTGACTTTTACAAGACTCAAAAAAAACTATCAAATCATTTAACATTTCTCTCAAATTCAATTAAAAACCACATAAGATTTTTAAGGTCTATATTGACAACTTTAATTACATTGGATCTAAATTTATAGATTTAAATAGATTGGGATCAACCGCCTCACTATTGAAGGGGTTATTCTTGGGTGAAAATCCATGTACGGTCAGGGAGTTTTGTGACGCCCCTATTAGGGTTGTCCAATGGGCTTTAGTCCTATTGAAGACTCCAAGACCATAAAATATAAAATGTTGAAAAGTCTAGCACTGGAGAGCTACAGATGATTAAGAAAATAAAAAAAGAACCCACACTTTAAAGACTCCTGCCAAATGCTCAAAGTGTGGGCCCCGAATTTTTTTCCCCCTTCATGTGGGACCGACCCCTACACTGAGAGATCGGTAAGGATTCTGTAGGAAACTGCTCTGTACATAGGGCAATTCCCAAAAAAGAAACACGTCTCTTCTTATTCTGAGAAAGTTATGATTACATCATCAAATTTTACATGCATGCACCTCAGAGTGCTGATGAACTCAAATTCCTTTTAGTGACATGTTCCCATGCATCGAATAAGCCATGCAAAAAAGCCTCGCACTTCGGGAACACTTCATCGCCTGACAAGCCGACTGCCGACATATACATTGACACATATAATACACCGAACTCCACATATTCAACCTGCAGAATTCTCTCTAGATTTTCACTACAAGATGAACACTCGAGTTGAGAACAAGTTTGCAGTCGTTTGGGAGAAATGGATGCGTCAACTTGAACAGTTTCTTCAAATCCTTCGTTTAGTACCAAAACAGCTAGCGTTCCGATAAAGCCGAAGCCAATCATGGGGATTTAGTGCAAAAAGTTACAGCACTTTATAAAGATTACTACACTGCAAAATGGGCGGCAGCAAATGAAGATGTTTTAGCATTTTCGCCCCTGTTGACACATAAAAATTCAGCCCAAATCGAACAGCCTAGAGAGTAAAGCCCAATTGGAGGATCCCCAAATCAGATAGCCCAAAGAACGAAATCCAATTGAACGAGTCAAGGTGAATGCCCAAATAAGGGGCCCAATAGTGCGATAACGCCATCGTCCAAGTTTGCAAGTCGCTCAGAGTCTGAACGAATAGAATGGCAGACGGTCGTCCAGAGTCTCGCCCAAATCTTCAAGTCGGCCAAGGTATCAACAAACATAACGCATTATGATGCAGTTATTGAGGCAATTGCTAAAGTGACTTTATCACGTTCCATGACTCAAGGGGTTCAATCGAAAGTGGTTGAACGATGCAAGATAATGGCAGCAGTTAAAAAGACAGTTTCATGACAAAATGGCCAAAATTGGGAAAAATTTGCATACGTGGTCTTCAAATATACTCTTTCGAGCACTTGAATCCCCAATTGAGGAGAGGTGAAAGCGGGAAAGTTTAGGATGGTGGCGGAGAGGCCGGTCTAGACTAGGTGTAAGAAGACAATCAAGATGAATTTAATTTATTTTTTTACTTAATAAATGGAGACTATGGACTAAAATTCTCTTTTAAAATAGGTCATGTGTAAGACAAGTACTCTTAAAGCATATTTTTGTCAATTATATGCATAAAAACTAAGAGTTTGAGAACCTAAAAGTCAATAAAATTTTATTGGGGATCCAAGTGTCAAAGAGTACACTTTGGGGACCGAAGTGAAATTTTTTCTGACATTGGAACTTGTGTGCAATTAGTGATAAAACCTGGGATCCTTGTTTGGGTGTCATTAATTCAAAAATACATTTATTTCTCTTTCTTTTCAACCATACATTTTTCAATAAAATAATATTATATGTAAAATTAAAAATTTTCTTCTTTTTTAACCACACATTCCTTTAAAAAAAACCTTATTACAAAAATATATATTTTTCCTAAAATTTAATATAATGAAACTCAAACATGGACTAAAAGTAATTAGGTAGTGATTAATTCACACACAATTCCACAGCTCAATTCAATATTAATTAAAAGTGATTGAAGGGTACGAAATTTAGATGGATGATGGGATGTGGATGGCTCCAATTATTGTACAAATGAGATGTTTAGCAATCATCGATCCAGATAAAGAAAGGATAGGAGACATAAAAAAAGGTTCTAACCTTTTTTTTTCCTGATAAAAAAACAAAAGAAAAGAAAAAATGAAAAGAAAAGAAAACTTTTCAACAGAATATTTGGAAATCTTAGTTAGTGCTTTGAACAGCCTTTTTTATGGAAAACTCAATCGCTGTCTTTAATGTTAATACCTACTAAATAACTTACAAGTAACTGGACTTCGAATTAATGTAAATGACTTTTATTCATTTAAATAATGGC